AACACACACAGACACACACACACACACACACACACACACACACACACACACACACACACACACACTCACACGTCCACACACAACAAAGAACATAAACAGGAAAGAATGTCCTCAGTTTTTAGTTGAAGGGTTGAAGAACCAGAAGACACCAAGGACTTTTCTAAGCCCGGCTTTGTTTTCCACTGAGCACACAGCAAAGGAGAGCTTGGGAAATTAGGCAGACTAGGTGCCATAAGCCCCCCTGCATTACAAGTCTGAAATAGAGGACATCCTAGGAGATTGTCCTCCTCGTGGTGATGAGGGCATAAGGACATGAGTTGACTTGTCCTGATGGTATCTGAGAGGAAGGGGAACAAAAGTTCTAATATGTTTTAGCATCTTGGACTTTTGTGGAGGAGAAACAGCCGTTATTTGTGTAGTGTGTCAAAGGGTGGGGCAGTGTGACTACTGCCAGCCACTCAGAAGCCTTGTGTAAACTTTCTGCTCTGAGTGGGGCTCAGGAGGACAGAGTAGAGGAGAGCTTTAGTATTGTTATACACAATACTAAAAATTGTGTATAACAAGTTTACACAAGTATATAAATTACATACATACAACACCCCCCATACACACACAGTGATTCACTAGTCCTACCAGATAGTAAATCTATTTAAAATCAATAATAATTACAATAAGCTGCTTCTGGTACAAACAGATATATGTGGTCCACAGAGACAAAGCAAGTAGATATTCTAGCAAAAATGTAACACTGCTAGCAGTAAGGATTATTTAATAAGTCAATTATTTAATAGCCAAGATTAAAATCTTAGAAGAAAAATAAACTTGACTACATTTAGCAAATACAAAACTGTGGCCCACACCTCAATAATCCTAGCACTCAGTAGGAGCTGAGCCAGGAGGATCAGAGGTAGTATGTGCTACAATGTAACTTTCTGTTGGCCTATACTTCATAGAAATATCTTGTCACAAAAAAATATATAATTATATAAGATAAACAGGGTAAACTCAGAAATAGAATGGTTATGAATCAGATATGTGAAAACAAGATTGATTTTATACTTTCAAATCACAGAGCAGTAAAGGTGAAAAAATGTTATATACAACTTTAAACTTTGGAATGTCCAAAATTATGTAGTAAAATAAGCAACCTTGACAAATTACTGTTTTGTTATTCGTTTGGTTTTGGAGACAGAGCCTCACCAAGTAGTCTTGAGCTACCCAGAACTCCCTGTGTAGACCAAGCTGGCCTCAAACTTACAGAGATCTGTCTGTCTCTATCTACCCAGTGCTGAGATTAAAGCCATGTGCCAACATACCCAACTGACAAATTATTCTTAAAATGACAATGTGTAATTTATAGGCTTGTTACATTAATTATTCTTAACTCAAGAGCCCAATTTATAAGTTACCAGACTGAAACAAAAGTGAATAAGTACACGAACTACCCAGTCTGAATTTCAAGCACCAAAACAGAATATGGATGCTGTATTCCAGATGGGATAAAATAGCTATGCTTTCTCACTTATGAATTTTCTAATACCAAATGACAGCCTGTCTGTGCCGTGTCCTTGTCTGCAGAGGATTTCACAACTCACCACAGCAAGCATTTTTAAATAGAACACTTAAGCACTCTCTAATCCAGAAGACTTGTAGAATTTTATTCCAAAGACATCATCCAGAACAGTAAAAGATGTGAGAAGATGCTTGTCAGTCATTTATACTAACAAAGATGTTGATCTCAGAGTAGGTAAACGTGAAGTAGAATAATATACACCCAGAAATAGTAATGTATTTGGGAGAAAACACAGCAATAAAAGCAGTGCTATGATATGAGGTGGTAAAGGTGGTGTCATTTCATGTGACTACAAAGGTGGGAATGCACCCAAGACACCAGTGTAACACCTCATTAACAGACTGAGGTGACAACATTCAGGACAATTTTCTTATGCATCCATATTTTCTGCACCTTTTGAATATTGCTTTAGTGTATTGAGAACATTGCATTTCTTCTCTGAGATTCATATTTTATCTCAATATCCATTTGCTTATTTATCTGTTTATTCATGTAGTCAGTCAGTCAGTTTTGAGACAGGGCTTAGCTGTATATACAAACTGATCTGGAACTCAGTTTATATCCCAGGCTGGCCTTGAACTCACAGAGATTTTCCTGCCCCAGTCTCCCAAATGCTGGGATTACAGATGTATACCATCATACTCAACATCTGGGTTTTTTAAAAAATTATAGCCACATATACCTGAAATTAAAGATGAATAGCATTTTTTTTTTTTTTTTTGGTTTTTCGAGACAGGGTTTCCCTTTGTAGCTTTGGAGCCTATCCTGGCACTGGCTCTGGAGACGAGGCTGGCCTCGAACTCACAGAGATCCTCCTGTCTCTGCCTCCCAAGTGCTGGGATTAAAGGTGTGCACCACCAACACCCAGCGAATAGCATATTTATAATACTTATATCAGAGAATCAGAATACCAGATATGCAAGAGTTTCAAAGGTCCCATCCCTAGAAAGGCATACACTCATCTTGTAGAAATCATATGCCTAACTGAAAAGAATCAAAACCCTAATTAGGAATTCCAAAACTGAGCTCCCATATGAGATCTTAATCTCACAAAGAAAGACAACACAGTCCATTATCTGCTGCTGAGAAATGACCTCCAGCAACTGTATTACAAAAGATATACCACTTTCAAGATTAATAGGATTCCCAGTACCACTCTCCACCATCATTGCCATTTCACCAGAGTTCAAAGGTTCTGTGACTGACAGAACACCGTTTCAGAGCAGGGAATGCCATGTTCAACACACATCAGCATGAACCATATGGATTCTCACCAAACCGTCCACAAGCAGTGGTATGCCTTGGCAAAGCAGAGCACACATGCCCTGTTACAATGCATAAACAAACAGCATGGGTTCATGACACACAAGGAGGTGGAGGCAGTCTGTGGACTAAGTTGATCTGTGTTCCTCGTGCCAGGGGTGAAGACCAATGGTGTGGGCATAACAACCTGATGTTTGATTGGAATAGGTGCATCAGATAGGTAGGAATCATATTCCTCCCAAGACTGGGAGCCTGGCTATCATAGTCTCAAGTCATCGTCCCATTTCAGCAAGAAGTAACTTGGAGAATACTAAGTCCCCTTTCCCCACTGTGGACACCTAGTGAGGGATATTTCCTATTGATTAGGGTTGGGTTTGGAAGGAGGTAAAAGGTTACCCGGGTGCTGATGTGGCAGGGGGATAAACCATGCCGAAGGCCACAATCCACCCATGGATTCAAATTCAATCTCACTTCTGACACCAGTTAAAACTGAACACAAGGGAGTCAGAACTAGATTGACCACAGGTAGTTTATTGACCACAGGTAGGATAGTACTCATGCAAGGGCCAGTGACCAGGTTTACACTGGAGCCGAAATGACCCACAGTTGTCTGCTCAGCCAGGTGGGAGAGAGAAAAGAGGGCCATGTGCGTGCCTCTCTGCTACTTAAACCCTTGCTATGTCACTCTGACCATGCCCAGCAGCACCTGTGGCCAGCCCCAAGCAGGAGTGGTCAGCAGTACCTCTAAACAGGATTACTCCTTACAGCTTACAATTAGGCAGGTCTGAATGAAGGCCAAAGAAGCTTTAAGCATCTCTGCTGATATCTTCACTTAGCCAAGTTCCCCGACTAATGAAAGATACTTGCCTCCCCTGTGCACTAGGGAACAAAGCTCTCTGGGACATGCCACTTATTTAAGAGGGTACATATTCCTCTTTTCTCAGGTTCTTAATTCTCTTTTCTAACTTCCTCTGCCTATTGGGAGTCTAGCAAATGACTCCAAATATCAGGGTCTTTGTAGAGAGAGGTATACCAGAGGGAGCTGGGATAAGCATTGCTTCTATGTTTGTAGTGATTGAAGCCTCCTGTGTGCAAATGTGTCTGTTAGTGGCTGAGGCCTCCTTTGTGCCTATCAGAATGCTGTTAGGTCCTTGGGGTAAGAGCAGTTTGCTGAAATCTAGCTATTCTCTGCTGTCACTGCAATGCCAAAAGCTTGGTGGCTTAGTCACATTATTATGACACTAGTCTAGAGATCTATGCTGCATTCGTAGTGACCAGTTAAGGCCTGTCACTTCCCAAGTAGGATCTAGGTCCTGAGGATGATTTTATTTTTGGCTCATCATCATAAAAACACGGATAAATTTCAGCTCTGAGGTGCCTCTCTCTCTTCCTCCCCTGGAGACAGGATCACTACAGAATAAGTATCCAGGAGAAGTCACTATCGAGTAAAGCAAATGTGATTATTAAACCCACTGACTTACATCACAGTAAATAAAATTAAGACAGATTTTCAAATAAAATTTAGAAAACCAAACACTTCATCTCCATTCCTAAACTTGTTTATCCTACAAGTTCCAGAAGCCCTCATGCTAGCTGCCCAATACTTTCATCCCCCCTTTCACTCTCTTACCCCTTCCTAAATCCCAATGGCCTATACCCTGCCACTTGGTGTTTTATGAATATTTCCTCCTCAATGTCATGAATGTCTTCTAATTCCTCTGGTGTAATGGTCCATCACCTTGCATTTCTGCAGTCTGCCTCTGTCATCTGCTGAGAGAATAGCTTCTCTAATCTATGTTTCTAAGGACCACAAAGATACTTATATATCAGTGTTTACTAGAACACTATTCACAGTCATAGTTATGAGACCAGCCTGTGTCCAGCAACACAGATGTGGACAGAATGTGGTCCATTGGCAATAGAATTGTATCAAGTCACAAAGGAGAATGAGGTGATATTTTTTTCATAAAGAAATTGTGCAACAGGAGAACAGCATACTTGGGGAACTCAGCCAGTCTCAGAAAGACATCGTGGCTCTCATTTGTGGTACCTAGATTTTAAATAGAAACCTAACATCATGTGTGACATGAAAGACTGATTTTTTTCCCTTTTCTTTTCAGTGGCACCACCCCCATATACTTACGACCACGAGATGGAATATTGTGCAGACTTGCCTCCACCGTACTCTCCAACCCCACAAGCTACAGCCCAGCGTTCCCCACCCCCTCCTTATCCTGGAAATTCAAGGAAACAGTCCGCCTCCCACAACAGAATATGTGCCAATTAGCAATTCTACCCAGAAATGCCTTAATTTAGAAACATGCAAAAAATGATTGTCTACTGGTTAAGGACAGACACTATCTCTGGCAGAATGGTGATGTGGAAACCAGGGTTCCTACCCTGCTCAGAGCTGAAGCTAGGTGGAAAATTCTGCTTGGTTCTCTGAAGTCACATACTAAGGGGTTTACTGATCCACTGAAGCACAGTCAGATTAAAGGAACGCACTTTGGCAGGTCAGCTGAAATTCATGCTGCTTTAGGACTATCTAGAGGAAATTTCATTATTGAGCCTGGAATAAAGCAGAACAAAGGATAGTCTGAACTCCACCAGGAAACAGGTGTGTTCCACAGCTTTTGGAGAATTAGAATTGTTCAGTATTTTGTTTGTCTACAAATATGTATGAAGTGCCTCAGAATCTACTCTGTGCCTAGCACCAACAGAGGCACTCCATGGAAGTAAGCAGAAGATAACTTGGGTTTTAGCACAGGCATACCTCATCTTGTACTTTGCCCTTTTGCACTTTCCAGTTGTTGCATTTTTTTATATAAATTGAAGGTTTGTGGTAACCTTACACCAAACAGTATCATTGACCCAGCAGTAGGAGCTCACTTCCTGTCTTTGTATCATATTTGGTAAATCTCACAAAATCTAATGTTTTCATTGTTCTTATTATTAACTCTGTTATGGTGATCTGTGGTCGGAACAGTTGATATTGTTAATAGTAGTCTTCTGTTTTGTTTTGAACTCTGCCCCTATAAGACAGTGAGCTTAGTACATTGATAAATACTGTGTGTACTGTGAGTGCTTCACTGGAAAACTTCTCCCCTTCCCTTCCCCTCCCTTTTCTGAGAGCAGTATTGAAATTAGGCCAGTTAATAAGCCAACAATGACCTTTAAGTGTTGAAGCTAAAAGAAAAGTAATACATCACTTGCTTTAAACTCAAAGCTGGAAATAATTTATCTTGGTGAGGAAGGCATGTTCAAATCTGAGATAGATTGAAAAGCCAGCCTCTTATACCAGTTTATAAGCTAAGCTGTAAACACACATGGAGATTTCCTGAAGGAAACTAGAACTGTCTCTCTCTGAGCACATGAAAAGAAAGGAGAAAAGTGACCCATTGCTTATAAGGAGGACTCTTGAGGGCTGTGGGTAGCAGATTAAACAGCCACATTCCCTTAAGTCATAAAACTTAATCCAGAGTCAGGCTCCAACTCTCTTCATCCTACAAAGGCTGGCAGGGTGAAAATGCCATCACAGATTTGAGGGCAGCCAAGATCAGCTTCTGAAGTTAAGGAGAGAAGCTGCCTCTTCAGTCATAGTGAAAAGTGAAGGAGCAGGAACTGCTGTGTAGGCCTCGGCCTGTTCTCCCAAAGAGTTAGGATCACCCCATAAAGATGGCTACAGTAAACCTGAGTCTAGATACAAATGAAAGACCCTACTGTTGGACATGACTTTAGAACTTCCACAGCCAGAGAAAAGAAGCCATCCTAACTCCAAAGCTTCAGAAGACAGGCTGGCCTTCTTGTTAGTGTCTATGACACAAATGGTGACTTTCAGATGAAGCCAGTATTCAGTGTCCACTTACTGGTCAAAACTCCTCGCACTCCTAAGAATACACTAAGTTTACTCTGTCTATAGTCTATAGATAGAACAACCAAGTCAATTGTCAATGTACTTTGATGGCTATTTTAAGCCAAGTGTTGGGACCTACTGCTCAGGGGAAAACAAGGTTTCTTTCAACATTGTATTGCTCATTGACAGCACATTGTTCATCCAAGAGCTCAAATAGAGATATATGAAGAGACAAAGATTTTTTTGTTGTTGTTGTTTTTTTGTTTTTTTCGAGACGGGGTTTCTTTGTGTAGCTTTGGTGCCTATCCTGGCACTCGATCTGGAGACCAGGCTGGCCTCGAACTCACAGAGATCTGCCTGCCTCTGCCTCCCAAGTGCTGGGATTAAAGGTGTGCGCCACCAATGCCCAGTTCCAAAGATATTTTTTTATATTTACTTATGTTCCAACCCACTCTGTGTCCCATAGATTATGGGTAACTTCAACCCCAAGCCTTATATTTGATAAAGCCTTTTATATGATCATAGCTGACATAGAAATGGGCTCTTCTAGAGGCTTGGCAAAATAAATTAGGCATCCTGGAAAGAACTCACCACTGTGGAAGCCATTAAAACCATCCATGATTCATGAAAAGAGGTCAGGATATCAATATTAATATTCACCTGGAAGAAGCTGATCTCAACCCTCATGCAAAACACTGGTGTTTTTAAGACTTTGCTGGAGGAAGTACCTACAGATATGGGAGAGCCATGAAGGAACTAGAACTAGAGATGGAACTTGAAGATGTAACTCGATCACACCTCATGATATCACTACCAAATGAACAACTGCTTCTTTGGGGTGAGCAATAAAAAGTGGTTTCTTTGGCTGAAATATACTCCTGGAGAAAGGTGCTGGAGACAGAGACAATTGCAAAGGGTTTGTTCGTTAAGTCATTTGATAAGTCAGCAGCAGGATTAGAAATAACTCCAAATTAAAGGAAGATATACGGTTTATTAAAAGCTACCAAACACCATCATATGCTACAAAGAGTCCTTTTGTGAGAAGAAGTTTCAAACCATACAGCAGCCTTCACTGTACTTTTAAGGACCTAAGAGCCAACCAGCTTCAGCAAACACTAGCAACTCTCACCCCACCACCACCAAAAAGATTTGGAGCCGCTGAAAGCTTGGGTACTAGTTGCCATTTTTTAGCAATAAAATATTTCTAATCCGGGTATATATATTGCTTTGAAGAAACTTGATAAACAGTAGTACGGTGTAAACAAAGCTTCAATGTTCACTGGAAAACCAAAAAGTATTCATGTCATTCTCTTGTGAAATTTTTCTTATAATAAAGACAAGCAGCTCCACTGAGGACGTGGAAGAAGTGTTACGGACACAGGCAGAAGATGAACCCTGTGCCATCTCTAAGATACGCCTGGAAAAACAAAACAAAAACCAGTCACACAGTCACAGCATCATTGCTGACTAGATAGCTTCACCATCAAGACTCCAAACAAAATTTAGCTGTGCAGTAAAGAACTATTCTAGAAAGGATATCCAAAATGAATAGCAGATTAGTCCTTTTAGCTTCATTTTTGTTTTCTGTTTTGGGTATGTGTGACCAGCAATGTCTCCAGTAGATGAATCTTATTCATTAATTTGATTATTTAAACAAAATCAAAGGTGCTCAACAGGTTCTAGGAGCTAAAATAACCTTAGTTATTACTAACCCCTCCTAAAAACCACTTGGCTTTAGTCACTGGTATGATGAAAGTTACTGTAACTGTTGAATAAAAGGTGAGAAACCATATTTCCAGGAATTTTGTATCACTAATACAATGCCAGAATTTGACCATATACAACAGACTTTTTTGTAGACCAGGCTGTACTCGAACCTGTAGATCCACCTGTCTCTGCCTCTTCCAATAGCTGGAATTAAAGGTGAGCACCACCACTGCCCTACAACAGACTTTCTAAAAGGGGGAGATAAAATTTGATTTCTTTCCATAGAAATATGCTCAAATATAAAAACCAATTTTTTACATTTTTATAAACTTTAAATAATCTATTCTTTTAGAAAAATCATCTAATTAATGGAAAAGGTAAGGAGGCACACCATTATCTTTTACCCAAGTAGAGATGCTTACCTTCAAATGCAGAAGCAGTCAATAAATAATTCAAACCTGCTGTAGTCTACTGCAAGTGGCCTCAGCATTTTTACTTTTATGTGGGTCCTTTCATGTACTTTTAAACTGTTTGCTCAACACTGGGGTTAAATGATGAGAGCTTTATGTCACTTTAACAGGGAACCTAAAACAGTCAATGCAATATCATGACTATAATTCAGTGACATCCCAGAATGACACTAAGAAACTTCATAAATAACCAGAAGAAATTCCTTACCGTATAAGTTGTAGAGTCTGTGCTTGTAGTTGGGAAACAATATGCGCAGTGGCTTTTATTGTAACAGATATCAGCATTAGAAATGTGTTGATCTGACTGAACATGGTCTTCAGTGAGGTTTTAAAGCTAGATTGCTCTTGAATGACTTGCTTGGCTTGGGAGAGGATAACCTTAAGAAGACTTGAAGCCTTTGGGGTTCCTGGCTGTTTCAGTGTGTGGCTCCCTGCCTCGCATGAAGTATTAGCACAGTGTTGACTGTCCACAGGCTTTAATTTATTTTTCTTCTGCAAATGTGATTAGTCTCTACTACTCTACAGCTATAATTCACAATGCCAAAGTCTCTGGGGCTTGAGAATGCTGCTTGAAAATGCACTACACGTTCCTAAGGAAAAATGGAGAGGCAAGTCTGTCAAAAGGGAACACTCACCTTCTCACTAATATAGACCTGCCCGGGAAACATTTCTGTCCACACCATCTCTCTCTGAGTTGTTTATGGCTTCCCCTAAGGTATAGCACAAACCTACACATTTACAGTACATAAAGGATTTTACTGTTTTAATATATCATAGATATTTAAAGTTCACTGATGTATATTGGAGAAAAACAATATTTGTGTAAAAATTTGGATCTTTGCTATTTAAGAACTAACATTTACTATGGCTAAATTGTCTATAATATAGAATAAAATGAAAGAGCTCATTATAACAAGAGCCACATTTTAACTGTCTTGTGTCATTATTCTTCTGGTTCATTTCTGCTGACTTAGCCTTTTTTCTCTGCACAAGAAACAGGTCTGCAGCCACACTGACTTTTTAATCCTGTTCCTCATCTGATTTGAGGAAGGCTATTTTATCTCTGGTAGCTAAATTTCTGCTTTATGAAATATGAAAGATATAATAGGCCTCAATAGGATTTCTGAAAACTGGATGAATATATGCAAAAATATATTTTTGGAGCCTGAAACTTGGAAAATATCCTATCCATATAAGCCCAAATTAAATTTCAAAAATATGCAATAAAATTACAGCCTCTAGACCTGTGTGTTTACA